CTGGACGAGGTGAAGGGCTGCCCTCAGCCAACAGGATCGAAGTTGGGGTGGAACTGTGGCCCGCCCGTCGAGCGCTCCTCCCCGGGTGGAGGGAGATGGAGATACGACGAACCTGCGTGCGTGCGTGCGTGCGTGCGTGCGACTCACCGCTCCCGCTCCCAGCACCTCGAACACCTGGATGGGATCCTCCACGGAGGACTTGGCCACGTTGAGCGACCGACGAGCGTCCTCGATACGGGCTGCGGACGACACACGGGTTGCAGCACACGGCATGGTACATCACGACATGATCTTAACCCCCTGGTTACCCCCCTGGTTGTGACGAGACATGGGATAAATGGCCGGAGGCCGTTGGCCTCGGGATATTGCGGTGCAATACGGTACAGCACCTAACCAAGAACAGTTGTTGTACAATTATTATGCGAGCATCGGTACAGTGCCCAGGGGTGAGCAGGCACATGCAACAAATGCCGTGTTGTTCTGCAACCTTACACAACGCCCATACTCGGTTTGCACTCCTCCCTCCCCGGCCCCAGTGCCGGCCCTCCTTGCCACCTTTTCACCCACCCGCCCACGCAACCCTCCCCTCCCCTCCCCTCCACGCACCCACCCCACCCGCCGCCCTGCCATGTCCTCCCCGACTGCCGTTCTCTTACCCATCATGGCCCTCCGAGATCCAGCCGCGGTATCCGAATCCCCGTCTTTTCCCCTGGTGCGGTTGGCGTCCAGGCATTTGAGCAGGTCGTACTGCCGTATCAGCAGTACATCCATGCGCTCCTGCAGGCGTTACGTTGGCGGCGACAGGGAAAAGAATCAGACAGCGGCGCGTTATGGCCGGCGGAGGGAACCCCCGGACATAAACAGACGGATCAGACCCCCAAATCAGGCCACCAGGCGAATCCACCAGACGTGACTGCTCGCATGAAGGGGTGGTGTGAAGGAGGTGGGACTAGGAGACGGGCGAGGAGGAGAGACACGGCGGGTTTGAAAGAGGTCACCGTCCGTTCCCGGGGTACTTATTTCCTTCCTCTCGGCCCTGCGCCAGGGGCCGGCGCGACCCTCCGCCCCTCGCACCTTCTCCTCGCGCAACTGCTCAGTGGTCTCCGCGAGCTTGTGGTTGGCCGCCTGGGGTGGTGCACATAAGTTGGAGGAAGAAAAAAACACACGGGAGGTTGCGTGCACGGTGCGTGTATGTGTGTGCGTGTGTATGTATGTGTGCGTGTGCGTCTGTAATAATTGTTGCGGAGAGAGCGCAGTGGGCGCCGGGGACATGTACGTGCGATTCAAGGAGGAAACCTCCGGCTCTGCAATGCAAGTGAAGATCCCAAGGGATCTTCATTACAACACACGGCAGCGCAGCTCCGAAGCTCCGAAACCAAAGCCAGCGCACCTCGCACGCATACTGGTATCACCCCCTGCCTCGCCTTTTTCGCTTTCCCCCCAGCACCGCACGACTTCTGAGGCACGTCCGTCCGCCCCCACACCCCGCCTCCCATCTCGCGCCCCTACTGTCTCCGCCCTGTAATCTTCCCTCCACGTATTCCCCCGTATTCCCCCGTCTCCCTCCTTCCCTCCCTCACACACATGCCCCCCTTTCAAAAAGCGCTGTACAGCACATCAGTTCACTGTGCTTCACTGCGCGACGCTGCACGGCTCACCACTGTCTCATTCAACAGCAGCACTTGGCGCTTGAACGACGCCAAGGAAATGAAGAGGAGAACGGAAATGATGATGGAGATGATGATGACGGCGGCAATAAGAGGCCCCTGCCAGCCAGGCTTGAAGCCGCTTTGGGGGGCAACCTGGCAAAGTGGTACACAGCCGTACCGTTGACAACACCAGCAGCAGATAATGGTGATGATGATGGCGGCGGTGGTGGTGGTGGTGGTGATAATGGTGGTGATAATGGTGATGATAATGGTGATGATGATGGTGGGGGGAGGGGGTAGGCGAGGGGTCGCGGACAGCGGTCAAAACAGTGCGTGGAGATGGATGCCCCCAAGCACGTGCTCGCTCATACCGTGGGCTTTAAGTCGCCGCCCTAGCTAGATCAATCGCTCCACGTGCTCGGATGGAAAGAGTTCGGATAAGCCGGCCGCGATGGCCGCATGCGGCAGGGGGCGCGGTGCTACGCCGTGTGGGGATTGTCAACACCGAAAACACGTTTGAAGGGTTGCTGCACCATCATACCGTACCCCAGACGATATTGCGGCATGCTGCGGCTCCTCATTTTTTCATCCCACGCACGCGCGGGCGCTGACTCTACCCAGCACAGCATCAGACCGCATCCAACCCCCGGCCTGGATGCGCTGTTGCGCTACACCCGGAACTCCGCACGACCCCAACCCGCCGCCCGGCGACAACGTGACATCGTAACGCGCCGCCCTTAGCATGATACCCTTCCCCTCTCCCTCTCCCTTTCCCCTTCCCTCTCCCTTTCCCTTTCCCTTTCCCTCTCCCTTTCCCTCTCCCTTTCCCCTTCCCTCCCTCTCTCCTTCTCACTCACCCGGAGCAGCCACACGCCATTGATTACCTTGACCTCCACCGTCACTGCGTCCGCTTTGCGCAGAGACCTGACAGGATCTGTCCGGTAGATGACCTGCTCGTCGGTCGAATTGATGGGCCGAACCAACTCGTACCGTAGGTTCTGCGGTTCCGCAGGGTTCAGAAGTGAAGTACGTGGAGTATGGGAAAACGCATGGCTCACGGCTCATGGGTTATTGACAGGTGCTGTATGAGCTGCCTTCGATACTCTCAAGCAGCCAAGCGGCCCAAAGCAAGAAGGACGGTTAGGGAGGGGAGCCCTAAGCCCGCATAACATGGCGATACTCTCACGTTACGCTACGGAGCTGAGAACTCAGGTCAGGTAGTGCCAGGCCAGATCGGATCAGAAAGATCAGGTTTCAAGTCAGGCGCAGGGAAGGCTTGGGGAGGTGCGAGGGGAGGGGACGGGGCCGGACGGCGGCACCTGAGCCACATGCCACGACGTCACCGCCACCATAACACCACCGAGGCCTGCAGGAAGCGGGCCGATTAGCCTCCATGTGCGAAGAGCCTATAGGCCACAACAGTCTCGGTCAGCACAGGCCTAAGCAGGCTGGGGGCTGCGGGACACTGGGCACTCACAGTCTCACAGTCTCACTCAGTGACACTCACCATCTTCCTAAGGTTAGCCAGGTACGCGTCCTCGCCGTGTGTAACCGCATCATAGTTGACCAGCACCGTCAAGATGCCCCACCTGCGTGCGAATGAAGGAAGCGTGTGGAGGCATCGGGTGCAAACTGGCCCAGGAGAATGAGGCGGGAGGTCAAGGAGCAGAAGGAAAAGGGCAAGATCACCAACACACAACGGAGAGCGCGGTACCGGGGCACCTCAAGACAGGAAAAGAGGCCGCACAGAGGCCGCAGCAAACCCGATTGCGGTGCTGATATATCGAC